TTTTTTTTTTGGTGTGAATTCAGATGCATAGCTGGCGGCACTATTTTACTGAATTTGCAAACGTATGATTATTTGTTTCATAGCTTTGTGACACAATTTATGTTTGTGTTTTTATATGACATAATGGACTGCTGTAGTGCCCACAGTTCCCTGGCAGGTAGGTTGGGTTTGATTCAGCAGTAAAGATCTGCTAAATATGCTGCACATTTGATGCTGATGCTTTCACACACACGTCAATGCAGCACTGCAAAATAGCAGCAAAACTTGACATTCAAAGCATGACATCATCATGTCATCACTACTGCATGACCACTCTGTGCGCTCTGCATTCTGCTCCTACAGATGTGTGTATGTGTCAGTGTGTGTCCTTTGCTTTGTGTGTGATTGTGTATGTGTTTTTAATTAGCCAATATTAACATTTAGAAAAGAGCAGTTTTAAGTTGCAGTTTTCAAGATTTAAAATGTAATATTTATGATTTGGTTGTCTAAACTGGTACAAACTTTTATTACTCTCAAGATTGGTCTAGACATGCAGTGTTTAGTTGGTTTGAACCTAAATGTCTCTTCATTTTATGAAAGATATTGTTTCAAGAGCACTCTCGAATGATGTAATTAGGGAAGATCTTTCTATGTGATCAGGTCTTTGAGACGCTTTAATAGCTCAGTTTAGGAAAACATGGCATTTGGGTGAGATAAGGAGGCTTATTTTAGTGTTTCTGGTCTATGTGTGGAACAAAATGGATTTGATTTCACCCTTCAACGGCATATCATAAAAATGAAAAGATACTTGGTTCCTCAGACTGTCACACTGGAGGAACCCTATGAAGAACCTCTAGGTACCCTTTCAGTTCTCTGATGAGTGTGCAAAGTGGAACCCATAAGTTCCTTCAAGATCTCCAGAGTTTGTCAATAGTTCCTCCAGTAACCCCGTGAGGTTCTGATTCACTTAAAAAATATATACTGAAGGTTATTTGAGGGACCTTCAAAAGTTGCCTAGAGGTTCTCTGAAGGATTCAGCCAGTGTGGCAATCTGAGGAAACCCCAGTTTGTTCCACAATTATTTATATTTTTATGGTTTAACTCTCTCTTCCCAGAACTTAATTTAAGAGGGCATGTGTTGTGTAGTATGTGTGAGAGAGAGGAGGGCAGGGTTGGAGAGGTTGCATCTCACTTTTTTCCACTCAACTTTAAAGACTCTGTCCCAATTGCTACCTTTAGCCCTTGCGACCCAATTCCACACTTTGTTGATGTAATTCTGCATAGACTTTCAGATAATATTCTGCATCAGTGCCACCTTGCCTCTGAAACCTAAAGTGACAAGAGTATTTTGGACTTCACAGACATTGCATGACCGCAAGTATACATCAAATGTGCCATTTGGGACAGGGCCCAAAATATTTACAGCTCTGCCCACTTTAATGCACCATGCTGTCAGAGCAGAAGCAGACTAAATTGCTTATTCCTTTGCTTTAGTAGCCAATAAATTTGCTTTATCTCTTTTGGATCAGTCGATTACTGTGTGTCATTTGTTTCTTATCTGTTTGAAGGAGCTTTATACCCACATGAGTGTTGATAGGTCAGTAGTACAGCCCGGACAGGCCCAGCTGTCACCCGGGGTGTCTACAATCAGGATGGAGCCTGCCCTCCCAGGTCTCAATCCCACTTGTACTTGCATATCCCCATAAACACCTCTTCACCTCTTTTGCTTTTATAGTTGACCCACTGGTTTATTCATATGATTTCTGAAGAAGTCTTTGTGACTGGATTGATGCTGTTTAAATTGGGATAAAACAATTAATTTCAGATGTGTATAAGTGGCCTAACTAACACATCCAGATGGTGACAACGATGGGTTGGTTTGTTATCTGCCACTGTGGGGCCAGATGTTCGATATATTCCGTTTTTGTTTGTCATACTGAGAGAGATCATGCAATCTTCATTATTTGTTTTGTGAAAAAATCTGGTCCATGTCATGTAGCAGGACTTCTTAACAGATTGTGGAAAGTCCTAAATCTCTTTTCTTTCTCTTCCTATGTTGCCCCATTCCCTGTCACTCTCCAGAGGTGGTGGAGAAGGTGTCACCACCTGCTCCAGTGGCAATTCCGCCCTCCATAGAAAGTCAGAACATCTCCCCAACACAGCTGGCAGGTGAGTCCATCCATCCATCAACCCATCCATGAAATGTATATTTGGGATGCACAATATTACTGATAAGTCTATAATTATATAAATGGTCTGGCCAGAAAATTACTATTTTGTGTAAATAATTTAATATTGATACACCAAAAGATAAAATCAGTCATTTAAATGCTAGAAACCTCTCTCTCCATCCATATCTATACAGCTCTCTCCACTTGTTTTCCTATGGGCATATTTCAAAATCATGTCTTTAAAGGAATGAGGCTCTAAATACTTTCTTTTAAAACATGTAACACACAGGCAATAAATAAACTGAACAGACTGCTCAATGAAACTTAATTAGATCTTTTGCACTCTTTCACCTCTTGTTGATTCTTCTTCTCAACTTTATTTTTATTTCCAGGAAGTGGCCAGAACAGGCCACAACAAGCAAGGGATTAATTAGGAAGTTGCAAAGATATTTTTTTTCTTTGTTTCCAAGCAGATACCTATCACAAACCCTAACATTTATTTATTTGTTTGTTTACTAACACCAAGTCTACCAGGATCTTTTCTGCATAACTGTTGACACAGGGTTAATAAGCTAACTTATGCAATTCACATTCTCCAGATACATGTTCACTTCAGCCATTCTTTCCTACCCTCAAAGAAAGAAAAATTAATACCAAAGCTAATAAATGTCTGCTTCCAATAAGTGATGGAATGCATGACTTGTTTGTTGATTCAAAAGTTCATGTAGCCCTTCGTTTATTAGTCTCTTGACTTTTATTTAATGCATTGCCTACACTGTGAAAATGCAAAAAATGACCTTGTTCTTTATTTTTTTCCTTCTCTTCATAGAGATTGACGAGTGTCAAGTGAGTCCTGATATCTGTGGTGCAGGAATCTGTTATAACACTTTTGACAGCTACATGTGCATCTGTGATGACGGCTATAGAATAGACAGTGAGGGCACCACATGTGTAGGTGAGAGTTCAAAGGTTAAACTACTAATACTGTAGATCTCTACATCCATTACCATTACCAAGAACTGGCTCTCGCTTTCATTCAGTACAGTGGTTCTTTTGCTTATTTAATTTATTTATGAATCCATCATACATCCATTTGATATAGTCAGTCATTGACTAAATGGGCAGAGTTTGTGTGACAAGGAACCTCTTAAAGGGATAGTTCACCCTAAAATGAAAACCCACATTAGAGCTTTTCACACTGTGCTTAACCCCGGGGTTATCGTCGTTCTAAACACCACTTTTAAGCCCGGGTAAAGAAACGTTTCACACCTGTAATTTGAAAGCGGTGTTAGCACTGCTTTTTACCCGGGGTTATGAAACCCTGCTAAGTTTGTTCAGTGTGAAACGGAGCGGTGTTTGCATGTTGCTGCTGGACGCTTGGCAACAAACAGCCAATCAGCGAGGCTCATGTCACGTCAGTAACAGGAAATGCGCGTCGTGTAAAAAGCAGCCGGTGAGAGAAAAGTAAGAAATGTCAAAAGACAGAAAGCGTGTGAACTGGAGTGATGAGGAGATGGTATTATTCTTACAGTTTTGGTCAGAAAAGTCTGTTCAAGACAAATTGGAAGACCTACGCGGCGACATTTTTTTTAAATAAATGGCAAGATGTGTGAAAAGCCGTGTAAACAGGTTGCCTGCTGTTCGACCAATCAGTGACAGTGACACCGCAAATATGCAAATAAGAATGTTAACCCGGGGTTTGAATGTACAGTGTGAAACGTCTGTTAATAAATACCCAGGATTAACAGTTAACCCCAGGTATAGTATAAGCAGTATGAAACGTGATTACGGATAACCCATGATTCCTTTTATCCGGGGTTTAGGATGACCCAGCGATAACAATTTCAAGTGTGAAAAACCCTATTTAGTTCCAAATATGTATTACTTTCTAACTTTCTATCTTCTGAGGAACACAAAAAGATATTTTGAAAATGTTTATGTCCATGCAATGAAAGTCAGTCGGGTCCAAAACAAAACGACAACAAAATCTTATTCTGTGTTCCACCAAAGAATGCAGAATTATCATTTTTGGGTGAAATTTCCATTTAAGAAAACATCTTCTTCGTCACTATAACGTCTAAGGATCTAAAAATCGAAATGAGTTTCTAACAGAACCAAACACTTAGTGATTACAGTGTTTGTTTCCATGTAGAAAAAAAAAAAAAAGACCATTTATATATAATTTTACTAATTTTCTCTTCATTTTTAGACACCATTTTTAGTCTATGCCTTACTCTATAAGACTTCTATGCTTCTAAATCCAGAAGATGGCATCTCAATAGATTAAATGCTATGAAAACACTGGATTAAAATTGGAATTTGTGTCTTATACTTTCTGCAAAGACAGATCCATTGATAACCTGATGATTATTTTTGACAGATGTCGACGAGTGTGCAGAGAGCCCAAGTTTGTGTGCTAATGGTCACTGTCAGAACACTCCAGGCGGATTCCTGTGTGCGTGTGAGCCTGGCTTCATGCCTAACGAGAAGGGCAACAGCTGCTCCGGTAATTACAAGACTGTCCCATATAAACTCACCCATATGCACAAACTAACAGAGTAGGGTTCACAATATTTGACTGGTACATAGATTTAATATTTAATTTCTTCAGCTCTTTCTTTTAAGAATCTTTTATTATCAATTATTTATTTTGTGGACATGTTAGAAAAGAAGAAACATGGCCCGTTTGGAGTTTTGAAGGTCTGTATTTTTCTTCGTGAGCCATTACCAGTCCTCTCCTTCACTTTCTTGGCTCTTATTTTGATCCAGACAGATCAGCACTCATATGAAGTCTGCTTTTGGTCTTGAACCGCAATGTGGTCGTCTTAATACAGGCACAGCTCTGTCTCTTTCTCAACTCCAAACACATCTTGTGTGTGTCATTAGCTGGTTTTCAGGGTTTGCAGACGAGGTAGAAACCACCTCCCTGTGACACACTTTGAGGTTTGTGGAGGAAGAGGAGAGGTATTATCGTACCCTCAACCGAGTCACCCAAATACCTCAGCACTGCTGCAGATGAGGAAATGTTCACGGTACTTGGAAAACACGTCTTCTCATTTTAGGAAATCCAGCGTACAAGATATCCGGAAACTTCTGCCCAGAGTTACTCATTGCATCCATTTAAACTGATATGGCCAGCACATTGGTTTCTCTGGCTAACTGGTTTCTTTTAGTTTCATAGCAGTTACACATTTAGGAATGTGTCCCACCTTAATTCCGCAATTGGGAATTTGTCAAACTGCTATGGAATGGGGAGCGTCAGCTCTTTAATGCAGTTATTTGTTTGCTCAACCCAGTCTATGAGACAGAAATTATTTCTTTTTTGATCTAGGAGATTGATTTTACTCTTTGATTATGCATGATAATGGCATTTTCTTTACTTTTTAGTAAAGACCACTTTTTATAAGCAGAAATGCAATCACAAGCCAGATTTGCATCTATATCTCTAATTTGAGCACCTCAGTGTACCCATAACACTGCTAAACCACAGCCTCCAGGCTTCTTTGTAAATTTGTGGTTATTGAATTCTAGTTCTAGATAGGTTGGAAATTTGTTATGGGAGCTTAAACCTCAATATGTGACCTTGTAAGTCAAAGAACATTGTTTTAAGTGTTGAAAATGTGTCCTTGTAAATATACAGCTGTCTGCATTAATGTAAAGCTCTTTAAAAATCTGTTGTGGTTGTGATTAGGTGATGTGTTTTCACACTAACTGCTTTAATGTAACACATCCATTCAATGTAGAGATGAAGTGTCTTTGGCAGCCGTTGGAAGCAGTAATAAAGGTGAATGGATGGTTGAACATGTAGAAGGAAAAAGGCATGCTGCCATCATACATCATGGCATCGCTATCAGAATGGTTTCACAGTTAAGATGCTTTTCTTTGAGTAACTTCATTAATAAAGGTGTAGCAGAGAGATGGAGAACAAAATGAGCTTTCCTGCACCTAAATCGATTGTTTCCTGTTCTCCTCGCAGTAGGGCAGCAATGACACCTATCCATAACAACAGATCCTCCGATCAAACCTTCACAGCTGACACAAATAGACTGACCACTGGCTGCATGGATATCATGAATTCATATTTGATTTTGAATCAGTCTGTTCATTTCTGCTTGTGTCTATGTAGATATCGATGAATGCCAGGATGGGAGAGTGTGTCCGTCCGGTCTCTGCTATAACACTCTGGGCTCTTTCATGTGTTCTCCTTGTCCAGATGGATTTGAAGGGAGAAATGGCCAATGTGTTGGTAAGAAGCCTTTTTTTTTGTTTGCTTTTATACAATGATATGTGTTTAGCACAGCTACTTTTTAGAAAAATGAGGGGGCCTTTATAAAGTTTAGTTTAGTTTAACTTTATTGTCTGTCCAGATTTCCTGAACAGAAATTCATCTTTGACACTGGCATAGAAAATACACCCTAACAGATAATACTATACATTCACATATCACATAACAAATTTTTGTTTTTTTTCAATTTAAATTAATACAATACAATATATATATATGTATGCCCACACATATGCATACACGTGTACACACACCTACCCAGAAAGATACCTCATGATAATACCTCAATTAAGAATTTGGTTTAAAACAGTCACCGCCAATGGTACAAATGATCTTTTATATAGGTTCTTTTTAGCCAGCGGTATACGCAGCCTGCGCCCTGAAGGAAGGGCCTCAAAGCAGGAATGAAGAGGATGAGTTTGAAATGTGACCCATCTTCAGATGTATTGTGTGTGTGACCTTCTCTGTGCAGATATAAATGAGTGTTTGGATGAAAAAGTATGCGCTCATGGTCAGTGCTCCAATCGGGAGGGCTATTTCATTTGCACGTGTGATGAAGGTTTCTCGCTCATTCATGACGGCAAGGCCTGCATAGGTACTCTCCATCCACAGTTCAGCAGCTTTTAGTATTTTTCAAAGATTTTTTTGTCTCTCATAATCATAAAATGCAAGTGAGCAAACTGCAATTTTGTGTGTGTGTCAGACATTGATGAATGCCAGGATGACAGCGTGTGCATCCAAGGTCACTGTCAGAATACAGAGGGGTCGTTTATCTGCAACTGTGAGCCCGGCTTTATATTGTCCTCCACAGGAGATCAATGTAACGGTACGAGAGTGCATGTGTGTGTGATATGTAATCGTGTATTCATATTAAAGGCGTCTGGGATTGATTCTGTGTGCAATGTTGAAATATTCTGATGTTTACAGATGTGGACGAGTGTTTGGAGTTACCTCAGACTTGTGATAGTGTGGGACAGTGCGTCAATATCTTGGGATCTTACCAGTGCAACTGCCCACTGGGATATAGACAAGTTAACGGCACCAGCTGCCATGGTGAGACAGTTCATCTCACAAACACATACATACAGAGGCTGTGTTCTAGAATAGCATACTAGCATACAACTCTTACTGTTTCTACAGTATGTAGTATGTATAATGTGCTTTTTGTGAATTTTCTGTGTTCTTAAAGGGGTCATATGATGCAATTTCAATTTTCCTTTCTCTTTGGAGTGTTACAAGCTCTTGGTGCATAAAGAAGATCTGTAAAGTTGCAAAGACTAAAGTCTCAAATCCAAAGAGATATTCTTTATAAAAGTTAAGAGTCAGCCACGCCTACCTAAAACGTCTCGTTCTAACACACCCCACATATCTACGTCACTATGTGGGAAGATTTGAATAGACGCGTTTCAGAAAGGCGGGGCATAGAGAAGAAACAATAATGTACAGTATGTGGAAAATAATGTGTTTTTTTAACCTTAAACTGCATAAACACATTTCATTACACCAAATACACAAAATAATGTTCTTTTTAGCAACATCATATGACCCCTTTAAAGCACCTGGATGAGCAACCACATTTGCCAAAATGGAAGAGTCCTGCTGAAAGAAACCCAGCATTTAGCTGCTCGATTGGTTTTAGGAAGTTTTTTGGGGACTTTTCAGCTGATAAGGACTTATCAGCTGAAACCAGCTGGCCGCCCATCTAAATTCCAACTTGCTAGGAGTCTAGCTAGACCAGCTTGGCCATTCTGGGTGATCATCTTAAACCAACTAAGACCAGAAAACCAACTTAGACTGGTTTAAGCAGGTTTTTACAGCAGGCAGCACACTGCTTAGAATACTGTTACTGATTTCACTGATTTCATCCCTCAAATCTTGTAGATGTTGATGAGTGTGAGGACGAGACACAACTGTGCGTCCCCAACGGAAAGTGTTTGAACACAGAGGGTTCGTTCCTGTGTGAGTGTGATGCCGGCTTTGTGTCCACCAGGGATCCACCAGGCTGTGAGGGTACGTACACGCATATTCTCTCATCGACGCATCCTGCTGTGGTTTGTCCTGATTCTCAGCAGCGCTGTGTTGATATTTATCTGATGTTTAGGCAAAATTAATCTGTTGCTTTACTGAAAAGCCCCAGTCTTTGGCAGCACAAGAGAGAGTGAAAGAAATAAAGGGATTGTGTGTCTAATGGGTTTTACATACGAGCCAATGTTATTTTTCCTCTGGTGGGATGTGTGTATGTGCTCCTGGGGCCCAATGAGGTGCCAGAGTTGTTTTAAATGCCCCGTCCAGCAGTAAAATGGGGAGAAGGAAGCATTTGAGCTGAATGTCTAGACAAAGAAAATATATTACATAAAATGACCTACTCAAAACCAATGTGTGTGTGTGCGCAGACTTTTTCAGATGTAGATGAATGTGTGGATGGCAGCAGATGTGTAAATAGTACCTGTTCAAACACAGAGGGCTCGTATATCTGCCATTGTGAAATAGGCTACCGCCTGGAGCCAACCAATCAGACGTGCCAGGGTAAAAGCCTAGAATCCAAAACAATTTGCTTTTTCATCACCCTCCACCCAGAAGCTCTTTGTTGATTGGTTAATTAGTGTGCTGATTGGTTGGTTGTGCTGTCTGTCAGATATTGATGAGTGTGCTGACTTGGCGACGTCTATTTGTGGGGTTTGGGCCTGTCACAACACACCGGGCTCTTACCGATGTGAGGTGCCCTGTCCACCTGGCCTTTCCCGAGGCGAACACAGCGTCTGCATCGGTGAGTGCCCACGGGCACCAGCTTCAGCCATGATGTCACCACCTTAGCTCCACCCAGCTTACATTGTTGTACTGCACATCTCCCTATTCTGGTTCTCATCAGAGCTGTTTGTTCGTCTCTTGTGGCTTATACATTTGCTAATTAACACTGCAGACTGCAATTATGTTTCCGATCAGACATTCTCATACTCATTTCATCTTCATTCAGGTGCTGTTTTTGTTAATATACACTACTGTTTGACAAATTTGGGATCAGTTAATTAATACTTTGAATCAGAAAGAATGCATTTAATTGCTCTAAAGAGACAGTAAAGACATTTTAATGTTACAACGGATTTCTATATCAAATAAATGCAGTTCTGTTAAACTTTCTATTCATCAAAGAAAGCCTGGGGAAAAAAACTGTATCACGGTTTCCACAAAAGCAGCACAACTGTTTTCAGCATTGGTGATAATAAGAAATGTTTCTTGAGCAGCAAATCAGCATATTAGAATGATTTCTGAAGGCTCATGTGACACCGAAGACTGGTGTAATGGCTGCTGAATATTCAGCTTTGCCGTCACATAAATAAATTCCATAATACAATATATTCAAATAGAAAACAGATATTTTATATTTAGTAATATTTCACAGTATTACTGTTTTGACTGTATTTTTGATCAAATAAATGCAGCCTTGATGAGCATAAGAGACTTCTTTCAAGAATGTTAAAAAAAACTTTTGAATAGTAGTGTATGTGATTTTTTATTTATCTCTACTGTTGTGTTCTTTCTGTCATCCATTCATCTCTGCCCAGATCAGCACACAAAGAGCTCTAACATCTCCCGCTTTCTGTATCATTGTCTCTCCCTCTCTCGTTTTAGATGTGGATGAGTGTTCTCTGAATGAGAATACCTGTGGAAGTCATGGTGTTTGTCAGAATACAATAGGCTCCTTCAGCTGCCAGTGCGACCCGGGATTCAAGGACTCTCAGGATGGGCAGGGCTGTGTGGGTACGTATTTTCCCTTCTTAGTTTCTGTTATTTTCATTCCACAATTTAAAAATAGACTCAAAATTGACAGTATGCAGTGAATTATCACTAATAGAAACCTAACTTAAACTTGACAACTGAGGTGTTGTCATTGCTTCTTGTTAAAATGTTCATCAAAAAATAAAAATTCTGTCATTATTTACAGTACTCACCTTCATGTCATTTAAAACCGGCATGACTTAGTTTTTTCCTTTCAAACACAAATAGAAATATTTTACACTTCCACATACTCAAACGTTTTGCAATCAAACACGGTGTAGTATGAGGAAGGAAGGAATGATTTTCAGCAAATAATAATGCGTAATAGAATTAAATTGTGGTCTATTCCTCACAGAACGCTAATGTGTGACTTAAAAAGACTTATAAATAGCACACAAGTTGTGTGGAGTAAATTTTTGTCCTTTTTGGCGATCCGACCAACAGTGTAGAATAAAACTGTGCTTTTAGACCATGGATTAGACTGGAGTCTTCATCTCAGTCAAGGGTACATCATTTTAAACATATTTGTCAAAATACTATTAATTTCTTTAGGTGTAAAGATTTTTTACTGGGAAAAGTATTTAGTGCAACCATAAGATGTCTAATCTCTATCTTGTCCACTTGGAGACAAAAATCCTGACAGGCAGGTAAACCAGACCTGGATTTGAAACTGAGGCCAGCACTCTCTGAGATTTTTTGCCACTTCCTCTCAGACAACATAAAAAAGATGGCAGACGCTTTGCTAGAGCCATGATTGATGTGAGTGTTTAGTTTCTTCCAGTCTGAGGGTGGATGGCACAGACCCTGGTAATGTTTAAAACAGTGACCGGCGTGAAACACATCAGTGGCCCCCACATACACTCATAGACACATTAATGCACTGACACAGAGTCAAGTCCTATTAAAGTGATGGAGCCACATGTTTTTATGTGGCCTGGTGTTTAGAGGTCTGGAGTTGCTGGCTATTTTAAAATAACACTGTGTTCTTGTGCAGCCCACCTTCTGAAAAAGAGTAAGAGCAGAGACAGAGGAAGTTTCATTTTAATTATATTGAATCATTAGGCCAGTCTTCAGTGTCACATGATCTGTCAGAAATCATTCTATTATGCTGATTTGGTGCTTAATAAATATTTCTTCTTATTATTAAGGTTGAAAACAGTTGTGCAGCTTAATATTTTTGTGTAAACCGATTTTTTTTCCAGGATTCGTTGATTAATAAAAAGTTAGAATTTGTAAAAGTTTAAGTAAAAATCTTTTGTCATTATAAAATCACTATAAATGTCTTTACTGTCACATTTGCTTCATTTAATCCATCCTTGCTGAATAAAAGTTAATTTCTTTCAAAAAGAAAACCTACCATGATATTAAATTATTCGATTTATATCGCCCACCCCTATATACAGTATAGGCCTATTGTTCTTCTGGTTTGTTCTCAGTTTGTGTTTAGATTGAGGAGAGAATTTTCATACATACACTAGCAAACAAACACACTCACTCTTAAAAACACACACACACACATTTTCATACTGTCTCTGAACAGAGGTTGTTTGTCTTGCCGGCTTATGTAACTGGCCACAAACAACCTCCATAGTTTCTTCAGTAATAATACACACTAATACACACAAATGCTAAAACACACAGACCATGCATTCCTGTTTTCTTCCCACTTCTCTCTCTTTCTCTTTCTACCCTTATCTATTCTTCCATCTCCCTCCTCAGTTTCTCTCTTTACCACATCCCTTGCTCTTTCTTTTCCTCTCCTATCCCTTTGTCCTCCAATTACCTAGAAAGACAAAGATCTCAGGCCTAATGGAATGCTGCACGACAAGATTCCAGCTACAATAAATTTTTCTTTGTACAGTGAAAGCGAAACATTTTTGTAACACAACAAAATCACTATCATTTTTTTTTTCATTTTATTTTTGTCCTGTCCCATTAGTGACAGAAATAGTTGAGAAACAAGCTAGATTCAAACCTGCATCACCCATGTGAGCACCTAAGTTTAATGTGTCTGTAACTTGTACATCCTCTAGGTTAGTGGTTTTCAATTCCAGTCCTCACGACCCCCCACTCTGCACATTTTGTATTTAATGTAATGTATCTCTTATCACTTCAGACGTTTGTTCTATTTGACCGTAAGTGCCCTGCGAAGTTAAATTCACAGGACTTTCCGCCATGATTCCAGTCTGAAGGGAGCGTATATGTTCCATTCAAAGGGCATTAAAGTGTGCGAGACGGGAATTTAAATTGTATTTATTTACAGAAGGATATTATGTCACACTTCACACTTCTCTAGTAAGTTTCGTCTGTCTGTGAAGACGCTGCAGGCAGTGGTGTAGCACAAATCCATGAATGAATGTTCCGAAGTGAAGTAAACTTTCGGATTTCCCATGCTCAGGGAGTATAGGGAGCAAAGAACACTGTGTAGGGACCCTGTCAATCAGAACACAGTTCAGGCATGGAGCTCTCTTCTAATGAGCTGGTTATCTGAATCAGGTGTGTTAAATAAGATAGAAATGCAAAATATGCAGAGCAGTGGTACGCAAGGACTGGAATTGAGAATCGCTGCTCTAGGTCAGCTTTCCTTGCCCTATGCAGTCAACAAAAACAAAAACAAATCGCAGATCAAAAGTTATATGTCCTGTAGACATTTCTAAAGATCAGTTTTAGCCTATCTGTACAAGCCAGCTTCTCTGTGTGTCTTGAACTACCTTTTAATGAAGCGAAAGGATGACATCTAATCCCTTTCCAGAGACTGAACATCTTAACTCCCTGTGTACTTGTGGAAAAAAACAAAAGCATTATGGAAAATTTTTCTTTTGTCGTGACGCTGTATATTAAGCAGCGTTGCAGAAAGCACCTACATAAAAAAAAAAACACTTTCGGGTATAGAAAATGTTCCCGTCAAACCCTACTCTAATCTGGAGTGCATGGAAAAACCACTAGTACAGTATATATCAGTTCTTATGAGGTCGTATCTGTCTCTTACATTGTTCATCTGGCACTGACGTCCATTTCCAACTTTTTATCATTCCCTAGTGGTGCAGCACCCACACTGCTGCCGACTCCAGACGACCGTTTAACACTTCCAGGCTCATTGACGAGCTGGCCCACCATCACTGAGAGGGTCTGGATTGTGTACGTGTGTGCGTCTGGCAGGAAGACTCCATTAGAGAATTCAGAGTCTATTGCACATAAATGCTCTCCACACAAGTTGATTTATTGCATCCTTTTGTATGTGGTGCTCTGAGATGATTGATAAAAGCAAGAGAATGAGAGTCACAGATGTGTGAAGCATTGAAGAAAAGGGAAAGAACAGAGTAGAAAGGAGGAGAGAGCCTTGTTGCAGGAAGTAGACACTTGCATTATAGTGCTACTTTGGTCGTCATAAATTCAAGCTGTCAGAGACAGTCGGCAGAAAAATGGGGCTGTTTTATTTACTGAAGTCAGCTGTGCACACAGTTTGTCATTGCTCTACGAGGTTCCCAAAAGCCACTGTTTTGATAAGGAAAATGAATGAAAACTCTGCAGAAGGCTCTGAGCCAATCAGGACAAAGCTATAGATAGAAATGATAAACTATGACTAGATAATGACCAATGTTTCACAAGCGTTCATGAGTTCACGTAAGTTTGTGGTTGTAAAAAGTCTGGTCAGAAATCTGGTGAAACTGTGTCCCTCATGTTTCTGTAGTCTTTCTTACTTTTTGTGATTACAAGCAATTTTTGTTCTTTCAAAATTATTGTTATTATTAATATATTTCATAAGTATCATACTTGTAGTCCATACAACTTGTGTGCTATATTTTTCAAATCTTTAAAAGCCATATGATACCTTTTTGTGAGGAACAGATCAAAAGTTATTCACTGATCTTCCACTCCAGTGAGTTGTTATCTCAAGAACCACTTGCCTCTGAATTGAGGGAGTGAATTGAACTCAAGAAAAGTGAATGAATCATTCTTTTGAACTGATATTCTTTTTAATGAAGTGGTTGAACTTGGTTCATGTTTGAGTGATTATTCCTCTTAAACTAGAAGCTTTTGGTATTCAGCAATATTATTGAACTGATTCTACTGACACTATTGGATGAGAACTGAACTGGATGATGACATCACTGTTTTCTACAGAGCTGCTTTACAGCTAAAGGCTGGAATACACTACACAACTTTTGCCACTGTCTGGAGAAGTTGACGCTAGTTGCCGAAAGTCAGAGCCAGTTTGCAGATTAGAGTTGACAGATTTCATAGAAAATTGTGTAGTGTATGATGGTCACAGACTCCAATTTTTTAGCTTCAGACTATGATTCCATCCAGTCGTAGAATATCAAACATGTTTGATATTTTGAGCCAATTTTAGAACACGTTGTTTTCATTTGTCACACATCTCCTAGCAACAAGGCACACATTTCTGCGTGAGTGTGTTATGATCGGAACAACATTAAAGTCTGGTAGTGTATGATCTTCAGTCGTTTAGTGTATGATGGCCAGTTTTTCCTCTATGACTGTTACAAAGTCGGTAAGTGTATGATGCCTAGTGTTTTAATATTTGTTCAGATTTTAAAAGTTGTGTACTGTATTCCAGCCTTAAACTGAACTACTATGATAAATGATGAACTGAACTGAAGAACTGAATCAACACTGAACTGACCTAGCTAAACAATGACTCTTGTTTTTTTTAGAGCCGCTTTACATCAGAATTCATCTCTGTTTGCATCATTGAATAATTATTCTCCTGTTTATCCTTGTAAAGCTGCTTTGAAACAATCTGTGTTATATAAGGCGCTATATAGATAAAGGTAACTTGACTTGACTTGACAAATTATCTCATCCGACACAAAATAAACTTCAGCAGTTCAGATTGCATCTTCAGTTCAGTAATAAAACACATTTTCTTGCCTGCAGATGTGAACGAGTGTGAGCTGCTTGGTAATGTGTGTGGTGAGGCCACCTGTGAGAATCGTGAAGGCACCTTCTTGTGTTTGTGTCCTGACGAGATGCAAGAATTTGATCCGATGTCGGCCAAATGCTTCTCTACACCACCAGGTAAAGTTGTAGCCTACTGTAAACCACCACAATGTGATCGACCAATTCATTATCCTACAGAAATCCCACAAACAGTGCCCTAACCCAAACCTACAAGACTACCATTATGCCACAGATTACCTTTTATCTGGACAGATGACCCCTGTCCTCCTCCTACGAAACGATTCTGAAGCTCTTCACATTTTAATCTCAGCCATGGAGATCCTTTAGTGCAACAGGACAGTAACTTCATGTCATCAGGGTCCAGCTCTGAGTAGAACAGAGGTAGGCAAGGCATGATGAATGGGGGTTGTAAACGATCTGGCAGGAGAGAAATGAGATTTAGTCTGAGGATTACAGAGGGACCAAAGCACCATGGGCCCCAAAGCATGTAAGAGCCAAAAAGAAGCTCCCATGCTAAGATAAAAAAGACCAGTACGGAGAGATATACAAGAAGACCTATCAGAATGAGAATAACTGCTTTTGAAAGTCTAGACAACTCTTAAAGATTTCCAGAATGGAATTGTGATATTTAGTTTTATTGCTAGGTTTCAATAGTCCACTTTAGACATTCTACTATCTATATAATTCAACTAACTCATTAGAGTATTAGTAGACTGTTAAGGTAAATAGAATAAGTTGGGGTTCATCAAAATAAAGCATTAGCACCAAATACAATTTACATGCTCCAATTCACTGTCTTGCAGGCTGCGAAAGTGAATTTTTTTTTCAAAAGTTAAGTGATGTGGGACAGGTTTTGTTTACCACTTAAAGGGTTAGTTCACCCAAAAATGAAAATTAGCCCATTATTTACTCACCCTCAAGGCATCCTAAGTGTATATGACTTCCTTCTTTCAGATGAATCCAATCGGAGTTATATTAAAAATTGTCTTTGATCTTCCAAGCTGTTTAATGGCAGTCAGCTGGTGTTGCAGTTCATCAGTCCAAAAGAAGTGAAATAAAGCGCATCCATCCATAATAAAAAGTGCCTCACACGGCTCCGGGGGGTGAACAAAGGCCTCCTGTAGCGAATCGATGCATTTTTGTAAGAAAAATAACCATATTTAAAACGTAATAATCAATTTAATGTAGCTTGCGCTCACTGTTGTACACGGAAGCAGCTCTGGGCGGATGATGTAGGCGTCTGCGTTGCGCATGCGCTGCTCAGAAGTGACGAACGCGGAAGCGCAAGGGAGAGATCAAAACAAAACAACGGTCACGAATTAGAAGTACAAAACGAGGATTTGTAAAGAAGAATGTCGGAGGATTTCGATATAGGCCAAGAGAAGACTGGTATTCCTTTGCTAAAGTAAGGAAACTTTGCTCCTGTAAACAAAAGTTGGTTTTCACCAGAAAAATCTTACGTCATCCTCCCGGAGCTGCTTCCGTGTACAACTGTTGGCGCAAGCTAGATTAAAGTGATTATTACGTTTTGAATATGGACATTTTTCTTACAAAAATGCATCGATTCGCTACAGGAGGCCTTTGTTCACCCCCCGCAGCCGTGTGAGGCTCTTTTTATTATGGATGGATGCGCTTTATTTCACTTCTTTTGGACTGATGAACTGCAACACCCGCTGACTGCCATTAAACAGCTTGGAAGATCAAAGACAATTTTTTATATAACTCTGACTGGATTCATCTGAAAGAAGAAAGTCATATATGCCTAGGATGGCTTGAGAGTGAGTAAATAATGGGCTAATTTTCATTTTTGGGTGAATTATCCCTTTAAGAAGATCAGATGTGGTAGATGTACAAAATTGAAAATAGCTTAAGGTTTAAGGGATTGTGCTGGCTAGATTGTAATCAATTTGTTCCTCTAGTGCTGAAGAACATGGTGGAACTGGGAAATAAAAGAACAATGTTGATTGGATATGTGTGTGTACCGAGTGGCTACACACCAGCTGTGCCTGGAAGATCAAGTAACAGGAAGCATTTTCTTAGATCTTAGCCAGTGCTTTTAGTTAAGAACTTTTGTTCAAATCCACCCGCCTAATCCTCCTCCTTTCATAAAACCGCACTGTCTCCTGAGTTTAAACATTATTTTTTGTTTTTACAAGAAGAACCCCGGTATCTCTTACCAGAGCTGTAAATCATGCTTTTTACATATAAGGACAGCAGTAGAACACCATAAAACTAGAATCACAATAGTTTGGAATATGAATTATGTGGAAATAATAAAAAGGAGCACTCAGTGACTGAAAAGCCAAGGCTGAACTGTAAAACTGCTCTCTGATGTCATGCACAGTTTCTGCTGTGTTCTTGACCTTGGTTCTTTAGGTGTTCTTCTTTTGTGGGTTACTGTATTGCAGTGAAAAATTACATTTATTCATTGATTTTTGTTTTCCTCCCAGTCCTTTGTTTTTCTGTTTGTTTTGTTGCTTTGTGACAAAACATGATTGAAAGTTCATATCTGAATATTTTAAAAGGACGAAACAACCAGTCTGACTTATCTGTGTTGTTGTTGTATCCCACAGTCACACCTGTGGAGAGGAAAGAGTGTTACTTTAACTTGAATGATGAGAACCTGTGTGATAAGGTGCTGGCCAGCAGCATGACTAAAGAGGAGTGCTGCTGTACGCTAGGAGCCGGCTGGGGGGACAACTGTGAGGTCCATCCCTGCCCCATCCCGGGAACAGGTACTCAGTTACATCACACACAACAGCAATCTAAAAAGTACAGTACAAAGACCTGCAATGAACACTTTTGTATAGAGATTAAGACAACATGGATCATTCAGTCAGAGTGTTGAACTTGAGGATAGTGAATGAATCATTCTTTTGAGATGATTCTTTGCAGTTAATCAGTTGACCTGGTTAATTTTAGGTAAACTATTACTTTTAAACTTCAAGCAGAATAGAATTTTCCCCATTTTAACACTTTTTGAAAAAATAAAGTGGTGGTGAACTCAAAAAGATAGGCCCAAATTTTCAACAAAGTAATAACTATTTAGGCAACATGCATCGAGTCAGTGAGTTGAACTTGAGGATAGTGAATTATTCATTCATTTGAAGTGATTCTTTGCAGCGAATCAATTTACCTGGTTCATTTTATGTAAGGAGACCAGTATCGGGCCCGATACCGATACCAGTATCGGTATCGGTGCATCCCTAATGTAAACTATTAAATTTTAAACTGGAAGTAGAACATAGTTTTGCTTATTTTACCACTCTTATGTTGGGGAACTTAAAAGGATAAGCCCAAATTAAAGCTGCAAGCAGCGTTGAAAGGGCCCTCGCACACGGAGCCACCTCCATGTATGTATGTTTGAGTTAGTGTAAAACATGACATTTCCTGTTGCCAACAGGTGGCGCTATGATTATAACTGAATATTAGCCTTTAGATGTCTTCAGGCCAGGACTTTTATCAAACAAGTGCAGATTGGGCATTGCATATTTTAGTTAGTGTAAAACATGACATTTCCTGTTGTCAGTAGGTGGCGCTATAAATTATAACGGAACATTGGCATGTAGATGTTTTCAAACATGTGCAGATCGGACATTGCATGTTTAAGTTAGTGTAAAACAAGTCATTTCCTGTTGCCAGCAGGTGACGCTATGATTATAAATCAATATTGGCCTTAAGATGTGTTCAGGCCAGGAGACTTATCAAACGTGTAAAGTTTGGGGCAGTTCGGACATTGTATGGCTGATTTGCAACATCCTTTTTTCTTTGTCAGGCTGCCACGGACACGCCCTTTAATGAAAACTCAAGATCTTCACTATTTAACATAGCAAAGGCCTTTAGATTAGACTGACCAAATACAATGTATTTTAATCTCTAGGAGGAGTTTGTTACAGCGAAAAAAAGGCACTTCCTGTTGCCAGCAGGTGGCGCTATGACTGTAGCTGAATATTGGCATGTAGATCTCTTCAGGTCAGGAGTCTTGTCAAACATGTGAAGTTTGGGGCAGATCAGACATTGTATGCCTGCGTTATAACAAATTCCTGTTTCATGACGAAACATCGGAATTTGTCAGGCCATCACGGACACGCCCTTACAACGAAAACTCAAGATCTTCGCAATTTAACATCACAAAGGGCTTTAGATTAGACTGACCAAATTTGGTGTTGATCGGATTAAATCTCTAGGAGGAGTTTGCTGAAATACAACGCCTGAAAATGGCAAAAATGGCACAAAATTTTGGGAGAAAATGCATAATAACTGACTTCCTGTTGGGTTTCGTATTTTGCTCCAAGAGACTTTTTTGTAGGTATTGGTGTGTTACATGTTTCTACCGAATTTCATACATGTATGTGAAACGTAGCTCAAGGGGCACTTCGTTGAATGTGTATAGGTGACACTGTCAAGCCATTTTGCCACACCCACTTCTGAAACCCATATCAAACGTACATTTTTGCCACTTCTGGCACGTGTGCAAAATTAGTTTTCAAGCATGTTTAGGCCCTCAAAAATGCTATTTATTTTGGAGAAGAAGAAGAAAGGGAGCAATTCCAGTAGGGTCCTCGCACCTCGGTGCTCGGGCCCTAATTAGAGAAATTAATCTCAAAGTAGGAAAAAGTAAGTAAAGAGACATCGAAAAGGTTTAAATCTATTATAATTTAAAACTGTAATGATTCCTATGACATTTTTTCCTTCAAATCTCCCTACAAAATGGTTGAAGAGGACGTGTCCTGAAGGGAAGTCCACGTTGTATTGCGCATTAGTTCTTATGAATCTGTCTCTGCTCATTTCTTAATTTCAGACAGGCAGATCAAATAGGACTGTAGATTGTAGTAAGTTTCAATGCGAAACAATATCCACCTTTCTGCAAACGATGCCTGACGAAAGGTGTTCAATACATGCAAAAGCTTGTCTGTTCTGTGATGACCTAAATGACTGAGAATCTTCACAGACTTTTACTTACTTTACTTTTAGTCATTTAGCAGACGCTTTTATCCAAAACGCGATACAGTACGAGACCAAATGCGATTTCAGCACATCTCCACAGTAAACAAAACAAGCGTTTCCTAGCAACGATAACTGCGCTAAACACTGAGACAAGAAATAAATACACTTACAAGCTGCTTTTAACTTCTGCTGATTGACTGCTTCTCTCAAAGAGTATATCTTAACACTTTGTTTTGCTGGCGCTTGAACACACTTTCCTGTTTATCACAACAAATGGCCAAGCAAAGCGCACGACACTGACAAGGTACGCGATACAGTACGAGACCAAACACGATTTCAGCACGTCTCCAGACAAGCCAATTACATTAGTAGATCATATCTGGACCTCATATAAATGATAAACAATGACTCATATTTATTTTGCTTTACCAAGTCATAACTACAAATCTATCTACAACTTTCCATATTTCTAATAATGGACCTTTTTCATATTTCCGGGTTTCTCAGAAGCGGAAGTCTTCTTCTTCTTCTTCTTCTTCTTCGTAACCGTGGACGAAGCGGAGTATATTTATTATAAATATGTGAATGGGAGAGTACCACAAATATATTTTTTGCATTCCCATTTGCTCAAATAGCAAAAGAAAAACTCCACGATAGTGTTTTCGTGACATTCAATAAAAGGAAATTTTTTTTAGAGAGACTGATAACGGCAGTAAGAAGAGAGAACGTTGTCAAATTTACCATCCCTCCCAAAGACGCTGCATTAGAAACACCCTCGCATTAGCGTTAACTGTTTTTTTATAATTTGATGCAAAGGTGATATAATACAAAGAATAGTGTTATAAATGTACATAAATTAAAAAAAAAAATACAAATATGAAAAACTTTCGATGATTTACGATGCTGATGACCGTTAAACGCGTCATCACAGTCTTGTGAAAAGGGTCCATCACCATTCTTAAAATAAATACAGCAGACGGTTTCCTGTATTGACTACTGACACTGTTTTATGCAGATCAGTTCTCACAGATGTGTCCAGCAGGCCGGGGTTACATTCCTCCTGGAGATCCTATGATTCCTACAACCAGCTTAGCAGAAAGCTTCAAAGGTATCTGTGTGTCTGTGTACTTTTAAAGGGATAGTTCACCCAAAAATCTGTCATCATTTGCATGTTGTTCCAAAAACCTGAATGACTGACTGACCTCTGTGGAACACAAAGAAGGTTTTTGTCCATGCAATTAAAGTCAGTGGGGTCCAAAACAACACCGGACCCCAATGACTTTCATTGTACGGACAAAAAAATAATGACATTGATTTCATTTTTGGATAAACTGTCCCTTTAATGTCTGGTTGTTTACGTGTGCTTTTGTGCATTTTTGTGCTTATGTGGTTTTATGTTTGAGCATTAATGTTCCTTGCACTTTTACCCCCCTGTTTTATGCACATATTTTTGACTTTGTAATGTGTGGAAGCAGCCGCAGACATCGCTTAGCATCTGACCTACATATGCTGAAACACACACACACACACACACACACTCAGCAGCCTGCTTCCCAGTGTGGGGAAACCTCAGTCACAGGGCCAGTCTGATGCACTGATTTAATTTATGAATGCAGCGAGAGTGTGTTTTCTCGTTGGCTGGTGGCAGCACGAGTGAATGCGATGTGGTCAGGATGTGTGTGTGTGTGCGTGTCGGCGTACGTTTGAATGGAATGCTTATGGATGGTAAGGATATTTTCTCCCTGTCAGACTCCAGTCAAATGGCATTTCTGCATGTAGCAGATCCCTAAATAAGAACACTAACCAGAGCAACGCATCCAGATGCATGCTGATCTGTACTGTAGGTGTGGTCCAGGGTTTCAGATTTATACTGACCTGTCTGTTTGTTCATTGATGAAATAATGAAAATGTGTTGATGTATGTGATTTGCAGACACAGATGAATGCAAACTTTTTGAAAATGAGATCTGCAAAGATGGCTTTTGTCTCAATACCCCTGGTGGGTATGAGTGTTACTGCAAGGCCGGACTCTACTATGATGAGAGCAAACTGCAGTGTGTTGGTAAGGTCCAAAATCACAATTTACATGCAATCTCCAAACAACTGTGGATTTCTATGTATCATCTGTCTTTTTTTCTTAAAGGGATAGTTCATGACGATTACCTTATGTTGTTCCAAAGTCTTCTGCAGAGCACAAAAGAAGATAGTTTACCAAAAGAAAAACCCCACTGACTTCCATTGTTATGGAAAAAAAAAAAAATATATATATATATATTTTTTTTTAATATCTACAACTGTGGATTTCTATGTATCATCTGTCTTTTTTTCTTAAAGGGATAGTTCATGACGATTACCTTATGTTGTTCCAAAGTCTTCTGCAGAGCACAAAAGAAGATAGTTTACCAAAAGAAAAACCCCACTGACTTCCATTGTTATGGAAAAAAAAAAATATATATATATATATTTTTTTTTTTAATATCTTCTTTTGAGTTTCACAGAAGAAAGAAAGTCTAACATGTTTAGAGTAACATGATGAAAATTTTTTTAGACTGATTCCAAGTTATATGTGACCAGACCAGATTTATTTTTTTTGTTCAGTCTGTTTCATGTACACATTTATTGTTATAGTAACAAAGTAAACTTGATTCATTATGGTTCACTATGCAGTCTTTTCAAATTCTGTATGACTTACTTTCTTCTGTGGAACATTAAATAAGAAAAATTGAGAAATGCCTCAGTATTTATTTCATAGAATGTTCTGTAAGTCAATGTTCATAAAATGTAAAACAATTTGGTAACCAATATTCTTAAAATATCTTCTTTTATGTTCCACAAAGGGAAAAAAGTCATACAGGTTTGAAACAACATGAGGGTGAGTAAATGATGACAGAATTAAAAATTTTCTGGTGAACTATTCATTTAGCAACCTGTCACATAGAGAATGGCTGATCTAATCATTCAGACTAAGGCACATTAACTAAAAATCTATTATTTAATGGGATTTCAAACCATGTAAAAAGGTGTTTTGGATTTCATTCATGAGACAACTAAAAAACGTAATAAAAAAAAACAGATTTTTGCTACCTGTTTTAACAAGGTGTTTAAACACACATGCACATATAATACACTGAAATACACAAAATGTAATGAAATTATTGAATATTATATTCTAATGTTTCTCATTGTGTTCAATACAATATGTGCGTATCACTGCTCTATTCTCAGATATACACAGATTAAAGCAGCTTGATGCAGTTTAATGAAATATTTTAGAAGGCAGTGTTCAGAAACATAAAAAGTTACATGAAAGTGTTTTACTTTAGTCTAAATATTCTTAGAAAGGTTAGAAAGTAATCTTAGAAGGGTTTGTTATTTATAACATCCTGCCTTAGCCGTTTATTGCTTGTGAAGTTTGGCCTTGAATTGTCACTGTGTTCTTTTGTCGGTTTGGAATGACAGGCTTGTGTGTGTTTTTGTGTGGGTGCATGCGAGTTTACATGCCGAATAGATAGTGTGTGTGTAAGTGTTGGCCTAGTTGAGCTCACCGTAACGCCAACACATTTAAATTGGATTTAAATTTAAGTTTTAAACCTGCTGCAGCTGGTGGCTCGTGGCTTGTGGACATATAATGTGTGCAGCGTGATAGCAGGGTATATATGTGTGTAAGCTTGGGTCAAAGGGCTGCATCTTGCAATCGGTCAGGGCAGCACAGCCGTTATGATCCAGGCCGCAGCTCCATGGTGCACCGCAGGCTGTCTGCCTGCCTAAACACACATACACACACTCACACAAACCACAGACCCACAGCAATGGAGTCTCGCCCGGCCACACTGCCTTAAAAGCTGCCACACCCGACTGCCTCACACACACACATATTCAGTGTAGCCACAATCATTTGACTTCCTACTCCCACACTTACACACACACATATGAACACCCATTCACTCTCCAAACTCAACTATGCATTTTCACACACACATACACATATACAAATATGTCTCTCTGGTTTCTACATGAGTCAGTCTTTTTGACACCAGGTTCTGGAGGAGGCCGCAAACTTTACATACACACTGTGGGTTGATCTGATTTTATGTAAACAAACACACACTAAGTGCGTTTAAATTCAATTTAGTTGGACTAAAGCAGGGGTAGGCAAGTTCAGCTCCAACCCTAATCAAACACACCTGAACAAGCTAATCAATGTCTTCAGGACTACTAAGGCTATAGGCAGGTGAGTTTTTTTCAGGGTTGGAGCTGAACTCTGCAGGACTGCGGCTCTCTAGGACCGAACTTGCCTACCCCTGGACTAAAGCAATAATTTGCCACTTTAGGTCTGGTTGTGGTCTCCTTATCAGTTTAGTTTTCGTTAACTAAAACTAAAATGAAAATAAAACTATTAAAATCAGTTTTGTAATTGAAGTAAAGCTAAAATAACATAAAATATAAATATTAGATGAGAAGCTTAAATGAAAATGACAAATATCACCATCTAACTGAAATAAGTTGAAGTACTAATATTACTAAAACTGAAAAACAAAATAAATTAAATCTATATAGAAATATAAAAAAACTAATAAAAATGCAAAAGCACATAACAAAATTACTCAAATGTAAACTAAAATTAAAATAAAAACTAAAAATAATTATGTTTCTAAAGAATGTATGGCAAATTGCTGAAATGGTGAATGCTAGTGAAACTGTTGTTCTTTTGGCATCTATATCGTATACTGAGAACAACTTGAACTTGCTCATTGAGTCTGTTTATTTTCTGTTTCTCTCTCTGTCTCTGTACTCTGCAGACACTGATGAATGTGCGGATGAATCGAACTGTATAGATGGTAAATGTATGAACACATATGGGTCATATCAGTGTTTCTGCACTCCGCCCCTGGTTCTCGCACCTGACAGCGCACGCTGCATTTTGCCCACCATGGCAGGTAAAGTCTTACAACAGTAACTAAGTATTATGTACCTAAAAAAAAAAACTACACCTCACTGCCAAATCCCTGTTCTCTAAAGCACTTCACTCCAAAAACCCACACCTTAAAGCCACTAAAATAACACTTTAAAACTCACACCCTAAACTCTAAATCCCATTGTCTAAATCAGTGTTTCCCAATCCTGGAGGCCCTCAGCACTTCACATTTTGGATGTCTCCTTTATCTAGAACGCCTTATTCATCTCATAAGATCATTAGTCGAGTTCTCCATGACCTGAATCGAGTGTGTCAGATTAGTGAGACACCTAAAATCTGCATTGTTGGGGTTCCTCAAGGAGCTGGATTGAGAAACAATGCTCTAAATCTTTTAATCTAAACCCTACATTCTCTTAAACCTATGTTCTCTCCTCTGAAACCCTGCATTTTACATTTAAAACACTACAGACTAAATGTCACACCCCTCAATGTGCTATAATCTACCTTGATCATTATTTGATCATCTCTGACCTATATTGCTTGTCTTAATCTCAAAGCAATTCCAAATAGTGTCATACTGCCATCTAGAGGGTGGTCAAAATAAGCAGTTCTACACATGGAAGTTTTAATATTGATTTTTCACAGGTGTTGTAGGTATTTCATTGTTTTGTGTTTTAAGTTTGAAGGATATGTCTATAAACTTAACACCAAAACGTACTGGTAAATTTCTGCAGTACATGGTTTTTCTCATATTTTTTTTCTTAACTAGCATATTTCAGTATTCTGTCATTTTCATTTAGTTGACACTTACTCACCACTTAAAATGCTCATTTACTGTGTTTGTGTTTTTACAGCGCAAAGAGAAACTGATGTGTACTCGGGTATTTGCTGGGAGACTGTGACGGAAAGGCTGACCTGCACAAAGCCCATTGCCAACCTACAGACCACGTTCACAGAGTGCTGCTGTTTACACGGAGATGCCTGGGGCATGGATTGTGCTCTCTGCCCCCAGAAAAATACAGGTATAAATACACAACTACACATCAAAACATAAAGAAAAATCTGGAGCAGCATATCAGCTTTGAAAGAAACCTCCTTACTCTCCCTTTGGAAAGTTAATCTGTTTGGTATTGAAAATAGTTATTAGGGATACAGTTTTATCTCCAAAGTTAATTTGTATATTTAATACCTCAAGACGTGTGTTCTTTCTTAAAATTATTCTAGACTTACCGCACAGATCTGGCTTCCTTGTAATCGAAATCAATCAAAACAAAACACTTTTTTAATTCCCGTCCAGATGCCTATGCCACTATGTGTAATATTCGTCAGTTTGGTGGTCCCCGTCAGCCGTATGGTCAGGATGCTTTGGTCGCTGGCCCAGCTATTGAATACGGCCCTGAATACGACTCTCGATCTCTGAACCCTGACGGCACGCTGCCCCTCTATGAAGATTACGAAGAACCAAGAAGTGAGTACAAATTTACACCTTAAAGAACTGGTTGAAATTATTATTATTTGCTGCCATTATTTACTCATATTCATGTTTTCAAAACCTCTCTTTCTCAGATCCATATGATGCATTTGAAGGACTGCGAGCAGAGGAATGCGGTGTGCTAAACGGATGTGAGAATGGACGGTGTGTGCGGGTGCAGGAAGGATACACCTGCGACTGCTTCGATGGTTACACACTTAACATGTCCCGCATTCTCAGATCCATATGATGCATTTGAAGGACTGCGAGCAGAGGAATGCGGTGTGCTAAACGGATGTGAGAATGGACGGTGTGTGCGGGTGCAGGAAGGATACACCTGCGACTGCTTCGATGGTTACACACTCAACATGTCCCGCATGGCCTGCGTGGGTGAGCAACAGCAGAGTATCACATGAAGGGATCAGGCTGGTTTTTCAGCATGTGGGTGGGATTAGCTCAGGTTTACATTTCAGTTTGTTTCAACTCTATAAAGATTTTTTTTATTAATAATTAGGTGCTGTTGAGTGCAAATATCTATAAATCAACAAGTATCTGAGCTTCAGGATAAATAAAATAAAAATCTAAAAATATAATAAAAATGAGTTAAAAAAATCATCATTAGTATGTATGTAGAGTTATTTTATATGTGATTGGATTTATTTTGTGTATGTTATTAGGGCATAAAACCTCTAAAGGTTGGAAGTGATTCAAAACCTTGTCTGTAATGTAACTTCAAAATTCTGGGTGTGTTTTTCTTACATCGTCACGGATTGTGATTATCATGACTAACCTCCTGAAATGAAGCATGACTGAGCAGATGATATACGCCCAGGCACAGAGTGGCTATTAGGGTTTGAAACGAGAAATGGTTCTTATTCAGAACCAGTATTAATTTTTCTTTTTATAATAGAACCAAATGACATTCGGTCATGTTAATATGTTCTTGCACATGTATTCAGAGGCGGACTTACCCATTAGGCAAAGGTAGGCGACCGCCTTGGGCCCCCAAAAGCCAAGGGCCCCCTAAAATGCTTTTCATATTCAAGATGTGCATTAAGCGCGGACATGTGAACGGTTACTGTTCACGGTTCTTATTACCACGACAAATGTCTGCGTGTGTGAGTTGAATGTGCTTCTAGTGTATACTGCTTGTAGCAAATGAAAATATCATGCATCTGAGGCTGTAATTAAATATTGAGCAACAGTGCGTATTATATGTTTATCGTTTTAAATGCCGCTTACTCATTTATGAGAAGAACCCAAGTAGAGGACGCATACAGTTACTTTTTTTGGTTGATATAATCCTTGGGTGTGTGTATAATTTCCTGTTGTTTATTTTTTTCAGTTTCATTTAAATGTGTAGTTAAAATAACTACAAATAAATGTATTTTAAAGTTTAGAATTAGACAGCCTTTGCACACAGGCTTACGAAAATATTATGCATCTGAAGCTGTAATTAAATATTGAGAAACAACAGTGCGTATTATATGTTTATCGTTTTAAATGCCGCTTACTCATTTATGAGAAGGACCCAAGTAGAGGACGCATACAGTTACTTTTTTTGGTTGATATAATCCTTGGGTGTGTGTATAATTTCCTGTCGTTTATTTTTTTCAGTTTCATTTAAATGTGTAGTTAAAATAACTACAAATAAATGTATTTTAAAGTTTAGAATTAGACAGCCTTTGGAAAGTGTATGAGCCCAGGCACACAGGCTACCGCTGGTAACTCATCAGTGGACTTTTTATATGAATGAATCTCTGTACGGAATCGACTGTCTTCAGAAAAGTTTCGCTGGCATTTTCATTTGATCTGATAAAGCAGCTTTTATGAACGCAGTGCTGCTTTGCTTACAGCCGTTACCGGGGAAACCACTATATTTCTGCTGCTCCAAAACCGCCTTCTGCTGGCAGAGAATGAATGCATTTTCAATAATCCCATCTGCAGTCTTTGTTCAGACCAATGCGAAAATCCACCCACATAACCCCATTTTTAATCAATATAATAATTTAAACTTCTGACTCATCCCTTTTCTTTAAAAAAAAATGGTTTAAAGGCTCAATTGTGAGGTTTATCATTTTATAATTTATTTTGTTTTTGTGAAAACCTGTATCTCAACTGTAAATCAATTGCTATTTTGTGGTCTAAAACATGAAAGAAAGCCATTATAACATGTAGATGAAAAATGTAGAAACATTGGACACAACTATGGGGCACCATTGAGCAGCAGCATCACAACAAAAAAGGAACCTCAAGGTTGTTCTAGGTAAATGTGTGCAAATGTATAGGGCCCCATTCCAACATTTTGCCTGAGGGCCCCCAATTCACTAAATCCGCCCCTGCATGGATTTGTCCACCAACATACCATACTAAAATACTTTGACAGCGTTCTTAGCAGTAGGCTTATTCCATGACACCGCAACACTGTGGCAGAATCAACAGCGTGAAACAGACACTTGAGACCAGTGTAGTCCGATTCTCGAACAAATTACTCTTTTAGTCAGTAATTTTTGTGAATCAAAAACAAACCCAGCAATCAGCATAGTCCAATTCACAAACAAATGTCTCTGAGTCGGTTATTTTTTCTCAATCAAAACATACTGCGCAGCCTAAGCTGTTAGATTTATGAGTCATGTTTTGTATGATGGATGGATAATGTGACACTAAAGACTGGAGTAATGGCTATTGAAAATTCAACATTATTACCAACATTATTTTAAGTAATAAATATTCATTTTAATTATTTTATGTGAGAAGAAAGAGACTGCAATGGGTTTTGAGACACATGGAACTAGCACAGCATAAGAAACTGACTGCCAGGGACAAAGGTCAATTATACAGTTTAGTGGTCATTATTTACAAATATCAGTGAAATAAATAATTATTTATATGTATAAATGATATATATGATAAATGATAATGATATAATACAAATAAACATTTATATTGTTAAAACTGCATAAGTAAAGTGAAATTTTAGTTATCTAGATCTACTTTCTCAATATGACTTGTCTTTGTAGGCCAGTTGTTTTAACTGTGCGAGCTGGAGATGATCAGATCTGTGTGCAAGTTCCTCCTGCTCTAGTGCAGAGGATCCTCCTGAACACTCCCCCAGATAAGCTACATAAGACCATAGGTGAGGTACTTCCTTGTATTTGTATCATGATACTTTTACATGATTTGTTTAAATATTGGTACTTTAAAAGTCATGTTTTGTGTGTGTGTGTGTGTGTGTGTGTGTGTGTGTGTGTGTGAATCAAAGCTAGTGTCGTCTCATTCCCAAATGAGTGACTCTATGAGTTGGTTATTTTTAGTCAATCAAAAACATTCAACCAGTGTATTCTCAAACTAATGACTCTTTTGGATGGTTCTTTTTAGTGAATCAAAAACATTCCATGAAACCAGAGTAGTATGATTTTCAAACCATAAGAGTCAGTTATTTTAGTGAATTAACAACATACCACACAACCAGAGCATTCTGATTCCTGAATTGACTTGGTTCTTTTTACTGAATACAAAACATACTCTGCAACCAATGTAGTCCAGTAACAGTATAAATGACTCTTATGAATCTGTTCTTTTTAGTCAATCAGAAACATAACGCACAACCAGTGTAGTGCAGTTTTTAGTGAATCAAAAACATTGTACAACCAGTGTTATCTGATTCCTTGATATTTTTTTTTTGTGAAACAAAAACCATGAGGCTTATATCAGTGTACGGTCGTTTCTGCCTGGTTTATATGACAACCTGTAGTTAAAGAGTTTGTTGAGTAGTATTTTATAAAAATAAATGAATGAAATGTTACCACATTTTTGTTTTAGTGTCGTTGTTTAATTCCAATTATTGGGTTGCACTTATGCCTAAAAAGTCATTAAAAAGAGTGCACATTGTGCTTTAGCAAAAAAATTACTTTTCTTTTTTAACAAATATTTATTACTCTATCTGCTAAAAGAATCATTATTCAAATTGTTAAGGGTAAAGCTGTGTCCCAAACAAGACACATGTAACAAAACTATCTACTTTCTGACACCGTTTGTTTTGTGTTCCAGATATCAATGAATGCTCAGAGCTGAATACAAAGATGTCTCTTTGCAAGAACGGCAAGTGCATCAACACGGAAGGCTCATATAAGTGTGTGTGTCTGCCAGGGTTTGTCCACTCAGCCCAGCACAACTACTGTGTGCCCCAAAGACAGAATGCAACCAGCACGAGCACGAAGTGACCAGCAGGGGGCACAAGATACACTAAAAACGCTCTTATTTAATCAAGGCCCATATACTCTGCACTGTATAGAACAAACACCCAAAAACAAACCTAGAAAGAAAATCCTACTTGAGATGAAGAGTTTAATGTGCTATCTTATGGTGTCTATGAGAGAACTGTATAAAATATTTGTTTTATTGGTCTATGTAAGTTTATTATTTTTACTGTATTATGAAGTAGAAAGACTTTTTAGGTGTGAACATAGCAGAGGTGATATTTCAGCAAACTGACAAACCCTATGACCTTAAGCTGGGGGACTGCTTTATTTTACCCAGTCAGAGACATCGAGCGTGTGGATATTTTACTAATGCAAAAGCCAGACTCCTTATTTTTATTTTATTCCCTTCTTTCATTCTGTTTCAAATTCATTTATTGGCTGATTTTTCTTTATCTCTCTCTTTACTTTTCTATTCATGTTTCACATTTTTTCTTAAGGTCTTAGTGAGGCAGACCACATTACAAACACACTAACCTGCAATACATAGATTCATAGGAAACATACACAGCACAAAATGTTTTCAGTGTCAAGTCTTTAAAATAAGCTTTTTATATGAGCTGCTTTGTATTAATGACAGACACCAGCTACTTCTCTTTGTCTGGGACATTAGTCCACTGCGGATGTCTGTCCTGTGGAGCAGGCATGACCTTTAACCTCACCTTTCTTCTAGAAATTATTATTATTATTATTATGTTTCTTTGAAAAGAAAATAATAAAAATGAAGTGCCTTTATGTTTTTTTTTTTTTTTTTCAGATGTTTTTTTAACAGAAATCTTTTACTGCATTTGATAGAGTTGGCGAAATGTCTTGCCAGGTTGCAAAGCTGCTATTAAACAGCCATGGGATTTTTTTTTCACTCTCTTCCTGTTTCCTTTTTTTTTTTTTGTACTTTTAAACTGAAGAGTTGATTAGAACTATGTATTTGTAACTTGTACATTAATAAATACCTTCTGAATATCCATATAATGTATTAAAAGTCTTTAAATAAATCAGAGATAGTGATGTTTATACACATTTATCTGTGTTGTCCACATTTAAATATCGGTGCTTCTAAGCTGGCTCGTGACCAAAAATGGGTTGTCTGTCGCAGACAGAAAAGAAAAAACAATGTTTAATACAATTGATGGAGTCTGACACACCACAGAATAACATTACATCACCTTAAATAATAGAAAATAATAGTATAAATAAAATACGGCTCTCTGGAATACTGCATTCAGGTTGGTAAATCGCGCCATCCAGAGGTCTGCTGATATTTCGTAATATTCCTCGCAGTCGATGGTTAGGCTGTATAGAGGACCGCTCATCCGGGTAAGTGAAACCAACGCTACTTTCATTTGTCTTGTATCACATTGGATTGTAGTAAAATTACTTAAGGGGGTTTCTAAAGCTGAAGTACTTGATTTCTGCTCGATTATTGCCAGCGAACAGAACTGAAAATATAAACAATTTTCACAAACAGGCCTCGTCAGCCATTGGTCGAACCAACAGATAACCACGCCCATAGCCCACGCCATTGGTCAAGTAAATATTGTTTATGTCACAGCAGAAGAGACATTTTTACAGTTTTCTGGAAAGTTAACTTAAAGGGGTCATAGGATGCTACATGCACTTTTACAAGTTGCTTGAACTTAAATGTGTTGGCAGTGTGTGTACACAACCACCCTATACTGATAAAAATCCGCCCCATGTTTTTTTTTTTAATCTTGTTAAATGTTTTCCCCTTTCTCAAATCAAGCCGATCTCAGATGCCTGTCTGTGTG